TAATCCTTCCAGTCATCCAGGTTCAGCAACAATGAATCCCAGCGGACCCTAAAGAGTGTTGAGAGGCAATTCAAGCGTAACTTACTCAAATTCTTTATTGTCCTCCTCGGACGCGGAACGGAGCGAAACAAGGCCCTTGCCCCAGTCGGCTTTTCTCGGCAAAGCGACAACTTCGCAGCGAACCGCGAGATCATTGTCATCAACAACAGCCTAAAATAGGGAATTTCCGAAAATGAAAATAATCATACGAAGGTGCCAGGTGTGAGGAGGGCGATCGGAATGATCGAAGCTTCCGGTAGTTCCTTGTCCAATTTGTCTTCAACGAACTTGACTTGGAACGTGCCCAAGCCCCGTCTAAAGAATTTTGGAAGAGCGTATGACAATTACCCGATGACGATAGCGGGATAGAAGACTTTGTCATACAGAGCAAAGACCCTAGAGCCAGGGGCAACGCCAGGTTCAGCATCATCAGGCAAGTCCGCAGCAATCTAAATCAGGGTCCCCAAAAAGAGACGGATGTACCTGTTCCTCCTCTGTAAGTTCCGGAAACTGGAACTTGGCTTTCTTCGGAGTTGACGACGCTTCAGCCGCAGCCGCTCGCTTCCTCTCCGAAGTTTGTTTTTTGATAGGAGTAGCCTTGAACGTAGACTAAAATGGAATTTTGCCTATATGTCAATTATATGTACCTTCGGCGTTTCCTCGGAAAAGTCCATTCCCTCATCTTCCTCCTCGACAACGCGCTTGGATCTCTTAGTCGGTGCGCTGCGAGTGGCTTGAGCGGCTAGATCAGCCTCGCGCTGAGTCAGTTCCATCAAACTCCTCCGAACAGCTGGCTTCTCAGGAGGTGATTCGACGATGCCAACACGACCAGAAGCTGCCTTCTCGGTATTCGAATATTTTCCGGCGCCAACCTTCGAATAGCGGGCCTCTCCGAACGATTTCACCTCAACCTAAACAAAAGTGGCAGGGTGAAAGGGAATTTTGTACTAACCTGGATGTTCTTCAGCGGCTCGGGGTGCGTATCTCCCATCTCCTCGAAATCGAAGGGATCCTCTTCGCGCTCGACGGGTTCTTCAACTTTTTCAGCGGCTCCTAAGGATAAATAAACTGGAATGAATATTAAGAATACCAGAGCGGCGTCCGCGGCTTTTCGGAGTGACGGCTTCGACAGATTGCGTTGACTCGTTGGCTTTCCCTGCACGCTTTCGAGATTGCGTCTCAGCTGCAGGAGCCTTTGTCTTAGGAGTCTTAGCAGCCGGAGTGGCCGATGTGGAAGCACGTCCGCGCAGGCTTCGGGTAGGCGTCGAAACTTCGGCCGGGGTCTCGGCGGTCGCTTTCGATCGACGAGAAGAGGTACGCGATACAGACGACACGGCCTCTTTCGGCGCCTCATCTTCAACTTTGGCTTCATCTTGGGGCGACGCGATCGCCTCCTCAGCTTCTTCCTTCTAAAAACCGAAATAAATCAATATGTCAAGAACAAGATCACTAAAGCCGTGACATTTTTATGGATTTGCAAAAAGGGGTTGATCCTGTACGGCTAGCAAATAATATTACCTCCTCTTCTTCGGCAATAACCGGCGTAGGTTGCTTCACCGATCGACGACCTCTTGGCGACGGAGTGACTGTCTTCTATTTTTAAAAGTAAATATCAAAACAGTATGTTAGTACCTTGGGCGTGGCTTGTGTCGAGCGGCGGGAGCGAGTAGAAGTGTTCTAAAACTACATAATTGCAACAGCCCCAGTCTTACCAAATTCTCTTCTTCAACGGTAGATTTTTGGCTGCTGACAGGCGTCGAAGTAACGGAGCTGCGACCGCGGCGCTTGGCAGGTGACTTGGGGGCGACTTCTTCCGCTTCAGGGTCGACATCCTTCTCGTCAAATGAAGTAGCGGTAGTGACCAGCGTTTCTAAACATAATATTCAAGTCGTATGCTAAAAACATTTAGTATTTTTTTAATTATGAAAGCAAAAAAGCAAAATTGAATGTCGAAGATGATAACAAACCTTCATCAGTAACAATCGAATCCTCCGGTTCCGTAGCATCATCGGTGGCCTCTGTGCCTGTATTTTCTTGAGTACTTTGCATATCAACGTCCTCGGCCGGGGGTTCAGCAGAAGCTTCCTCTGAACAAAAACATCGATCAAAGTCCTAGTTTTCCCTACCGCTGATTTGTTCCTCTTCCTCGGGCTGTTCAAGGCCAGCAAGCTCATCGGCAAGGGAAGGGCCAGAAATCGTTTCATTCGCGTTTCCTGTGACCGTCTCAGTGGAACGAACTGCCGTCGAGGAGTCTTCCTCCTCTTTCGCATCCTGCTCGAAAGCAGATTCGCTGTTAGTCTCCTCCGCATCGTCATCTACTGCCGTTTCGATAGCCTCTTTAGATTCTGAGGGCTCATTCGGTGATGTTTGCTCAACGTCTTCTTCTGGTTCCTCAGTAACCTCGGCTGCACGCGAGAGCTGTTCATCTTCCGCAATCTAAAAGTAATTTTGGGCAGTCGAAAATAAACAAACCTGTGAAATTTCCAGAGTGTGATTGCCATTCTCACTGTGTTGAGCGATGTTCTCAGGTGGCAACGACTGGTTCAACTTTTCATCATCCCTGGCAAGGCTGATATTTTCTTGCGATTCGTCCAACGCCTTGGCTGAGGTTTCGTTTTCCTGCGCAATCTGCTCCAAATCGGACTCCTAAAGATGAGTGGAGGGCGTCACGAAAAATGTTACCCGCAGCCGCGAAGCGCTGTTGCCAAAAAGGCTCTTCGATGTCACCAGCTTAGGAGAGTCAGTAGCAGTACTAAAGATAAAGTTAATTCTCACGAAATGCTGTCCAACCTTTCAGTTCCATTTTTGCTGTCCGCCGATGTATTCAGTTCTGCATCAGATATCATGGTGCTCGAATGAATTCACAAACCCTCTCTTCGGGTTGCTAAAGAGCAAAATTACACACAGAACCACTCAAACAAATCGGAAAAGAATCAGAAAGGAATTTTGCAGGTAGTATCGTAAAAACCAATCACCATTCGCTTTTAGTAAAGTTGCAGATTCAAACTGGCACGTTCCTGGTGCGCCAAAAGAGAGATGCAGGGAAGGGAGAGAGCGAAAACGCGAGACAAGAGCCACCCTGCGATGCGCATGACAGGGGGAATACGGTAGGAAAACGGCCGATCCTAAAAGAGCTTGAATAAACCCTTTTTGCTATAGTTTGTCGTTAAATATCTATAACTTTGCTAGAATTATCAGTTAGGAAGGTTTGCTTGAAATTTATTGTTCTGCGCAGCTAGCCTCCCCAGACAAACGTTGATATCTAGCAAAAAAATACGACGAGTCCGATTCTACCCGCTAATTCGCGTTTTTCCTTTCATAAATAACTAATTATAAGTCCTAATTAACATTTTTGGATCGACCGTTTTCTAAAAACTCCTCTTTTCGTTTCTAAAAATTTGTAGAGTTGCTGTTTGGAATAATTTGGACAAAATCACGAAAAGTCCCGAAAATCGGAAAATCTTCCACGACCCGATTTTTCCGAAGCAATCCGTTCTCGCTGCTAGTTAAAAGGCACCCGACTACGGTGTCGCACAAACTTCACGGCGTCCTCCTCATCCGTTTCCATTTTTCCGCATTTTTTTCGCGTATGGCGGCAGAAACCTTTCATCTAACTTTTCCTCTATTCCTTCAGTTTTTTCGTTTCTAACATCCACTTTTCAGGTAAAATGGTCGCGACCAGTGCGAAAGATGTTGACAGCGCAGAAATCGTCAAGCAGATCGCCCATTTCTTGAAGAAGAGCGGCAAGGTCCAGCTCCCAGCAAATGCGGACCTTCTCAAGCTCGGCCAGTTCAAGGAACTTGCTCCCATCGACCCTGACTGGTTTTACATCCGATGCGCGGCCATTGCCCGACGACTCTACTCGCGCCCCACAGGTATCTTTGCATTCCCGCCTATTTACTCGCGTATTTTAGGCGTTGGCGGTCTGCGCAAAATCTACGGAGGCAAGCTGCGCCGTGGCGTCCGCCCCAACCACTGGGTTGCGGGATGCGGATCCGTATGCAGGCGCGCCCTCCAGACGCTCGAGAAGCTGAAGTGGGTCGAGAAGAAGGGAGATGGCAAGGGACGCATCCTTTCGAAGCAAGGCCGCAAGGACCTCGACAGAATCGCATCCGATGTGCGCTCCAAGGCCCTCCCCGTCGAATCCCTTTGAATTGTTATTTTTTTGTTCACTGATAAATCGTTAATTCTGATATATTTATTTCGGCAACGCTGGATGATTAACGCAACAAACAATACATCATTTACGAATGTTCTTCCGCAATTCCTTCTCTTTTTCGAATTGCCTTTGATCCGCATCGTTGAGAAACTGCATTTTCTTCAAGTACCCATCTCGACCCTTATTGAACGTCTCGAGCTCTTCCTATAGCAGCGCTTTAGAATAGTTTAAAAGCCTTACCGTTAGATTCTTTTCCTTTTTGAAAGCATTCCAGTCTAGTGAAGTTTTATCCAGAGCAGACATTTTCTTCTTTTTCGTCAGAACTTCAAGTACGACTCCCATATCAGTAGTCCTCCTAAAGGAAATTCGAGCGGATTTAGACAAAGGAACCTTTTTGGTGGTTGGCTTTTCGCTTTTTCTTCTTTAGCTTTGATCTTCTCGTACTCTTGTTCGGTGACCTCTCGTTCGAGCCTGCGAAGGTTAGAGCGGGTGCAAAGAAATTTACCGAACTTCCTCTCCGGCGTAATCGTAGACTTCAGTAATAAGTGTGGTATTCGCTTTCACTTTGTCCACAGCCGGCACTACTTTGTTCTCCACAGAAGGTTTCGTTGTGGGTGGTTTCGACGTGGAACTCGATGGAGCGGTGATTCCGAAAAGGTCATCAAGGAAATCCGCCGAGCAATCCTCAGCTGTGACGCTCTTTTCTTCCACAGTCTTGGGGGCAACAGCACTAAAAAGATATTGAAACGGAGCCGAAACAAACCTTTTTGGCTTGTTTCTCTGTCCGCGTCCTCCTTGGATTCCGCTTTGCTCAAGCGGTGCTTCTTCTTCACCCGACTCGTAATTGATGTCATCTGAAAATATACAATTTTTCATTCAATATTACCTTCTTCTTTCTCGGGTACATAGTCCTCGTCCTCTTCTGACTTGTAGCCGTCGTTTATTTCGCAAGAGCTCATCTAAATTGTATGGTTAACAGCGAAAATCATTTTTTTGATTGAATGAAATTGACTGCATGGGAAATTGTAAGTGGGCACATTGTGGGATGGGCGGGATTTGGGAGGACGGGTCTTGTGTGGAGGGGGCAGAGAAACTAATAAATCGCGTAAGCAGTTTTTTTCATAAACAATTTTCCCAGGTATTTCAGAGTTAGTTTTTACGTTATGGATAACATTCAGTTTCTAGATGTCGCAAAACTTCGACCTTGTCAAGTACAAGGAGAAGCGTCCGGGTACGGGCAGCCTGGGAACACCAATCGAGCTCACGACAAACTTGTTCAAGATGATCTTCCCTCAAGATAACATCAATCAAAAGGTTTTCCCAATCGATTATTCCCGAAAAATATTTAGTTTCCAAAATACCTCGTGGAACTGAGCACACAAAAGAAGGCAGGATTAGAGCCGATCAAAACGAGGTTAGGCGTTGCAGAGGTCATCTTGCTTATCCATACATTTAGGGAAGGCCGTCGACGCGCGTTTTGGTTTATTGTTGCCAGGAATTTGGATACTTTCATAAAGTTACAAAACGTGGTAGCTCTTGCTTTTTTTGCGAAATCTCCTTAAGATTTACGACGATTTTATCAATTGCTGGGCTTATGATGGAATTCGGCCGCCACGCAAAGTAGAAATTCGCTTCCGGGAATGGAGATTGAAAGAACAAATGCCTGGTTCATTATTGAGACCCGAGAAACCAGGACAAGGCGACCGAAACGTATGCGTTCAGTGGGTGCATTATTTGTGTTTAGGAGACTGTTGTGATGGACATCAAAGAGGCCACCGATGTCTGTCGGGATACGAGCATCGGTGTCCAGACCGGACCTTGGGACGAAGTCCGGGCCGGCGAGGCCATGCAGCTCGTTAAAGCGCTACTTCTCCAAAAGGTTTCTCAACATGGTCTTTTTTTAAATGCTTTTTTATAGCATCGATTCGTGCCTGACGTCTGCGAATGGGAGTGGGATGTAAATCATCCAAGAACGCCCAAAGAGACCTCCGATTTTTGCACATTGCTAAGGTGCGTCCCAAAGACCCTATACATGACAAATTGTAGGACGCTTGGTGAATTGTTCTACGCACATCAAAATTCAATCTACCGCGTTCCAAAGGATCCCACCAAGTATCCCGGCTTTGACGCAATTGTGAGCTTTGCGAAAGGCTTTCTAACTGATAGTTAGATCACCCCGGGAACACATGCATGGATTGGCACCTATCATTCGCTCAAGTATATCGAGGGATATCAACCCGTCGTCAATTTTGGCTGTAAGGTAGTATTGTAAACCAATGTTCTTTTCAGTGGTGAATAAGCTGTTTATGGAGCTTGATATGCCATTGCCTTTATTCTGGATGACTGTCATCCACCAGGTAGACCATATTTTACGAGTTTAATTACTTTTTTTTAGAAGCGCGAAAACCCGGGTCCGCTGCCTGAGTTAACCGAACAACAGGTAAGCCTATGCTGCGGGGCGCCTCGGCTTATTCTTTCATATAGCGGGACAACTCCAAAACATCGAATAACCTCTCCGTGTTTTTTTTTTTCTTGCTGACAAGTTTTCATTTTAGTTGAAAGATGCGTCGATGAATGTGTATCAGTGCGAACTCTTTAACAGAGTCATGAAGGGGCTACGATTGAAGGCAGCGCCGGTTGCAGTATTTGAGCCATTTAATAGAAAGACTGGAAGGGGAAATTGCTGGGATGTTGTCACTCGTCACTATAAGTTTACTGAATTGGCGAAGGTAAGACGCCGTCAGAGCAGCTGCCAACAACATTTAGAATGAACCACCGACGGCAGAGGGGAGGCATGGGGAACGCATGAAGAAAGGTTTTTTCTGTCATCTGGAAAACATTTTTAGTTTGCGAGATTGGAAGGGATATACAATGGGGGAAAACGGCAGCCCTGATGCGGGTTTCGTACAATAAAACATGGATTACACTTGAGCAGCTGTATCAAAACGCTGCGCTGCCTCTGAAGTAAGCATAGATTTCTAGATTCCAATATATATTTTGTTTTGTAAGGTGGCCGAACCTTCCCTTAGCAGTGGTCGAGGTCGGCAACAAGTTCAATGTTGTTCCTCTAGAGGTAAGTTCCGAGGGGGTTAAAGACATAATGCGTAGACATGGGGAAGCACGAAGTTTTTTTCTGCATTTAGATGCTGCGCACCCACGACAGCCCACAAGTCTACAACAAGATTCTCAATTACAAATCTCAGCAAAAATACATCAAGGTACGAGGGCTTAGTTTCTGAAATAGGAGACAATTCAGGCATGCTCTCGTCCCGCCCTTGATATGCGCCCGGTGAACCCAGATTCGAGTCGACCGCCTCTGCCTGTCAGCCATAAGCAACTGACTGAGATGCTTGTGAAGAAGCTCGAAGTCAGTGCTGACGAGGGAGGATACCCAAAGGATCCGTTTCTGCAACATTTTGGGGTTTGAGCTTTGGAGCTTCCTTACGATGTTCAGATATCAATTAACCCGAAAGGCATTGAATGTGAAGGTCGCGTCCTTGAGCCACCGAACATTCAAGCTGTAAGCCGGATTGTCACGGAATCGAATGTGCTTTAGAATGACGAGGTGCTGGTGGCCACGAAAGAAGATCATCGCGGCTTTAGTCTACGAAAATTCCTGAGTCCACCACCACAGAAAGTCGAGATGGCCGTAACATTTTCAAATTATCCGTTTTAGCCTTGTTTTAGGTGATTGTCATGTATGACAATGGCGAGCCTGTTCACCCCCTTGATGACGTCAAGTAAGGCGTTCTAGTCTCTCATTACCTTTTTAGGGGGTTTTACAACCAGCTGGCCGAAATTTGCGCCATTCGAGGAGTCGCTATATTGGAAGGTCTTCCTAAGGTTAGCGGTCTGTTAAGCCGTTTAACAACTTTTAGAAATGTTCCTGGGATGTTTCTCGAGATCCTGGAGGTCTGCCTTGTATCGCACGTACCCTTGCTGACAAGGCAAACAAGGAGGTCGGTGGGTTATGTTCTATTTAGGCTTCCTTTCAGTGTTGCTATTGCGTGCTCATCTTCGGCGATCGTGATTTCGGCAGATATGGTGATTCGTGACTTGTTGCATAATTTTGTTCCAGGTCACATCAAAGAAGTCATGGATTTTCACGGAATCGTCTCACAGTGCATCGACATAGTTACAGTCAAAAAATTCAAAAAGAACCCAAAGAAACAGTAGGTTTTTGGATAGTTCTCGAACGGCGGATTTAGTACCATATTTTACAACTTGTCGATGAAAATCAACCAAAAACTGGGCGGAATTACGCATGGACTAGCCGAAGAAGTGGACGGGGATGAGATGAGGAAGAAGGGATTGCTGTTCATTGATAAGGAACATCCTACAATGTTCATAGGTGAGATTTGAAAGAAGGTCAGTAGGAACGACTACTGCGTTTCAACCAGTTTCAACCTTTGTGATTAACTGGATTTAGGAATCGATGTCACTCATCCGCCTGTGGAAAACAAAAAAGATCCCGGTAAATTAATTCCGCTACGAAAATGTGCTTTCTAGAACTACGGCCGTCCAGAGCCGCTGCTGACGCCCCTCGGCTTAGCATTGCCGCCTTGGTGACCAACACCAACCTCGAGGCGACGAGGTTATTTTCCGGGCAATTACGATAACTTTTTTTCTGTAGATATACAGCTGAAGTACTACCGCAGTATGAGAACCAAGAATGTGTAGTACATCTCGAAGAGACACGCTTCTGCAACCTTGTGAATAAGTTTTGCGAGGTAACGGGAGGATTTTAGTGTGTAGTTCGTTGCAGAGTACCGGCACCGTCCCCAAGCATCTCGTCGTGATCAGGGACGGTGTTTCTGATGGCCAACTTATGCCAATAGCTTCAGCGGAATTGAAATGGATGAAGGTGAATCGCTGATTGCTCGAACAATTCAGATAAATTGCAGGCCACTTGGAAAACGAAATATCCAGGTCACCAAATCACCTTCACTTATATCGTCGTCCAGAAGAGGCATTTTGTTCGATTTTACCCAAAGAAGAAAGAGGAGGCCGAAGGGTTCGTTGCCGCTTTTCAAACCTCATTTATTTAGTCCAAATGGCAACATCCCAGCCGGCACGATCATTGACACTACCGTAGTCCACCCGGACATCTATGATTTTTATTTGGCCAGCCATTATGGAAACGCGGTATGTACTTCCGTTCAAATATCTTGGATTGCTTTAGGGCACGACCCGACCGCCTCGCTTTATCGTGTTGCTGGACGAGTGGAAGCTCGATGTGGACGAGATGCAGGTTGGGGTATGCCATTGGCCTAATCCTCGTTCAGAAAATGCTCAACAATCTCTGCTACATTTTCGCAAGATGTGCGAGGCCGATCTCGCTACCCGCGCCGCTCTACTATGCTCATTTGATTTGCGCACAAGCGAAGGAGCGCTACAGGAGCCTTGTCATGTCAGTGATTTGAAATTTTTCATTTTTCCAAAAAGCTGACGATCTGAGATTCCAATTTTGCGACGCAAATATCCAAAAAGGCTTAAATCACTGAATGCCAAATTCTCGGAAAATTTTTAGCAACTAAAAAGTAGGACAAAAATTTTACCTCGAATAAATTTTGGAAAAAGTAAATTAGAGCGCATCAACGGAATTCTTGTTAGGAATGACGAAATCGACCCCCCGCCAAGCAGCAGCGATTCCGGCCGAGAAGGCGGTGGAAGAGGAAAGAACCAACCAAAGACAGCAGAGGTCTGGGAAGACTTCATCAAATTGGGCCAAAAACTAACCTATAAGGTCGAGGGAATGCCCTGGCTTTGAACATATTTGTTACTCGTTGATGTATAGCACCAATATGCTTTTCGTACATTGCTTTCCGTTTGCGGCATTTGCTTGAAGCTGTACATACTTTCGATCTTCACTACTCGTTCGATTTCCGATTTATAACACTTTACACGGTGTGATACGCAGCAACAATAAATCCGGTTGAGTGATTGCCATGTATTGCACGGTATGGCTGGCTGACTGCTCGCATATTTCTTCAGAAACTACCATCCGCCGAGCCGTTTGTCATTCCGTTTTTGCGGGGTGGAAATGTTATTCCCCGGGTGAGGTCACAAGGTCACCAACGGGGGGTTATGCGGGGACTTGGATGGTGAAGCGATTGAAATTTCTGAGAGGGATACAGCTGGAGAAGGAGGAGCAACTAGTTGTAGAGCATTTTCTAAGCTAATTATATTCAACTTTCATTTAGCTTTTAATCCATTTCAGATTGTTCGTTTTGTCGGTGTAAATGCGCGGCATATTTTGTCGACTGAGAAAGTGCACCAGCCACACCCACAAATATCCTGCCAGCGGGCGCCCCTTCGTGCTACCGTTTTCCTTTTTTTTGTTGCGGCTGCTGATGGTATCTTCAGCCCGAATATGCTCAAAAATTTGGGGCGTTTCGCATTTTGTTGTGTACCGTACTTAGCGGGGAAGGGGGTAGCAAGGAAAATCAAAATTTTCCGTATTAACCCCCACCCCACCACAGGATGCCGACGGCCTAGTCAATCGGCTCGCCTGGAAAGAAAATGTCTCGGCGCCTCCCCGGGCGGCCTCGGCCCGTTGGCTACTTGCCAATTTGTTGAGGGGGGACCCGACACTGCCGTCCGCAGCCCTTTAATCCCGTACCTCATTTAACGAAAGAAACATTTTAAAGCGTTTTCTGCAATTTCTAGATATAGAAAGTTCAAAAAATCTACATTTTCTATTTTCTATAAAAAATGTCTGATAAATGGCGAAAAAGATCAAATATTTCGGGTTTTCAATATTTTTTATAACTTTCCTACAATAAAATAAAATATTAAAAATACTATAAGAATAAATTATGTATTTGAATAAGTATATGCGGAAAAACAAAATTATTTCCCCAAGCAACCCCCCGGCTAAAAGTCCAGTGCCTGTTGCAACATATAATTTGCGGCTCTTACAGTCGACCCCACGGAACAAACGACTTGAAGGGCTTTTCCCTATAATTTCGCGCGCCCTCCCGGGTAACTTTCCCCGATAGTTTCCGCCGGGGCAACTAGCTCCGCGGCAGTTTTCCGCCGCCTTGAACTTCCTCGCCTCAAGTGTGCTACTCCTTGAAAAGGTCAATAAGTCCGGCGCGTTCATTTTTTTGGGCTGAGCATAAATTGTTCTAGTCCTGATTGGTTTGTACTCCTTACTCCTTTATTCAGTGAAAATTTGTAGTTATGGGTACTTTATCTACAAATTTTTATCTAGGCGAGCGCGGTATCTATCCATATAACAAAAAAATCTAGGCGTACGCCAAAATCTTTTAAATTGATTTTAGTGATTTTTAAGATTTAAAAATATAACTGATCTTAGTAATTTTTCTAATATTTTGGGCGTTAAATAATACTAAAAAGTCTTCACTTTCATTCTTGTGCGTCTAGGGGAACGGAAACGTACCCCCCCCCGCTAACGAACCAGACCCCCCTCTTTTCTTGATCCCGAGATCGACCCCAATCCCCCACCCCTTCAATCAGCCACTCGACAAGCCGCCGCCGAGTAGAAGTTGTGATAGGCTTTGGCAATGGTGAGTACTCTAGAGGAGGAGGAGAAGGAGAAGGCAAGGTCGTGCTCCCCCTCTCGACCCATTGATTTGCCCATCATCTCATCCAGCGGCACACGCACATACGGTGTCCCAAAACACCCTCGGCGAGTGGCACCGTTTACGACGGAAGGAAAACAAGGGTCATTTTCTTTATTATGTATTTTATACAACACGTCAAGCATGAAGGCATTACGCGAGAACTGCATCTAATCGCGAATTTGAATACCTGGTTTTTAGAAAAGTTGAATATCCACGTATAAAATAAATCTCATATGATCCCGCTTTTTTCTCACCTTTCCGAGCTTTCGATGGTATAAATACGTCTGGCTCCCCGGCCGCTAGGTCTTTTGGGCTCTTCCACTTTTCCGCCCCATTTTTCTCCGTCCGTTCCGTTATGCGCATCCGGTCATAGCGAGGGGGACCGTTTTTCGCGCATTGGTCAGATATTTCGCTTGGAGGATAAGCTGTTTTATGTATCCTAAGCTTTAATGGTGGAAGTCGCACTCCTTGACTAGGGTTCTATAAAATTCGCAAGTTTTTATTCCCAGTCGGCTTGATTGTGACCCAAAATTTTAGGGTACTGAACTGTTAGCGGGGGGAAGCGGATTCTGACGGGGGATTCTAGCCTATGCCTACCCTGCAACAATTTTACCGTTTTCACGTATATTGTCACAGTTTTTTTAGTAGTTTTTGATTACGAAAAAGCCATATTTTAAAAATTAAGTAGGATATTTCACATATTAATAAAAAATAGTGTATTTTCATAATATTTTTAGTAGTTTTTGATCGCTAGAAAGTTGCAAAACTTTCTTTTAATATGTTTGAAAATTCGAAATTAATGGCCAAAAGTTAGAAAAACGTAATAATTTTCTTTCTGAGCTTTTTATAACTAAAAACTATGTAAAATGCTTTAAAACTGGTTTATATTTTGTTCTAATAGGATTACTGGGAATAATTAGCCCCCTGCTAACAGTCCAGGCTTCTTTTCCGCTAAACCCCCCCCCGCTAGCAACCCAAAACCAAATTAAGCGTATTTATCTGTGTGTATTTTTATCATTTCAATTTCTAATTTATATAATACCAATTGACCCTTCCTTACTACCACAAAACTTTACAGCCCCAAAAAATGCTGCCCCCTCCCGGATGGGCTTTGTCATTATTCTGGCTTTGTTTGGCGGTTGTTGCCGTGAATGCCGACCGCCCTTTCAAGGCGCTTCTCTATGGGGAAAAGCTGAAGGGGTTCCTCGAGGTGAGCACGAGCAGGAGGAGTGAGCACGAGTGTTCAATGTGGAACACAGACACACTAACAGTTCGCTCAGCTGATTACACAAGACGGCGCGCACAAAACTCCCCGGAATATTTGACCTCGTTACAACTGGGGGAAAAGACCGGCTTTTAAGGGATGGGAAGAAAAAGGCGATTTGCCGGGATATGTTCGCACTTTTAGCGGTACTGGCCTATTAGCGGGGGGTATCTGGCGTAGATCTACCGCAAGAAATTCATTTTGAATGTATTTTTCTAATATTTCTAACAGTTTTCGATCACTGAGAAGCGAATGATGCACAGAAACATTTTTGAAAATTTATATATTTCTAGGATTTTTATCATTTTCCTAGTTTTTGAGCACAAAAATCAAAAATGTCGAAATTTGAACAATTCTCAGGAGGGTTATGTACACAAAAACGGGATGAGCAGCAACAAAATGGTTGGTATTTTATGATTCGAATCCCATATAGAAAATTGGGATATTTCAAATTTGTAACATTTTCCTACATTATTAAGCAAAAAATAAAATTGTCGGAATTTTGATAATTTTTAGAGACTTTCTATGCTACAAAACGGTCTAAAAGCTAAATAAATAGTGTGTCTTTTCATTATTTGGACCCTACTGGCAAACAGGTCAAAGTTATCCCCCCCCCCCCGATAAACGTCTAGTACCCTTTTAGCCGGGACAGGTTTTTAGAAAAACCTAACGACTTGTAAAATAAGAGCCCAAAAAAACGGGAAATCAGGTTTGGGTCAGCTAGCAGAGACATTTAGATGAGTCGCGTCGCGGATGGGCAATATTCGCTTCACTTCGACGTGAAAGAGGGCCCGGCTGGCCTCCGCTGGTCCGTTCACACCGCCTCGGCACCCTATGATTTAGCCGTGCTCACGGATAATTGTAAAAGGTC